CTCCTTGGTCTTGAGACCCCTGCCACTGCAGGCAGACAGGTTTGAGCATCACCATGCTCCCCCATGTGGTTGATGTTCCTGAAGTTAAGGAGAATTTTCCTTCAATAGAAAGAGCAGGATTATGTAAATATCTCCTAGTTTGGGGAGCAGAACCATACCACGCTTTCAAAGGTAGGAAAGGGAATAGTTAAAGTATTGAAAAATACAGGGTTTTTTTTTTTTTAACACTACGTGATCAACCCTGATAAAAGCACCATGACAACTTTGTTTCCATTACCTTTGGCTTCAAAATGTTATTTTGAGTATTTTTTACCTGACAACATGCATAGAAGATGCTCCAGATTTGAAGAAGTCTGTGGGATCCTCAATTACAGCAACATTGCTCAAAATTCCCTTCCAAATAGCCTAACAATACATAAAAATAATGGAAGCAATAATGAATAATCCTCTAATAGCAAGAAGTATTTATCAAACTGTGTTTTCTATGGTATCTGTGCCTACAACATGTATTATTTCAAAGGATTCTAAAACAGAAAATTATTTTAAGAGGGTCTTGAACTGTGTAGAGATCTGCTGTTAGCCAATAAATTTTTCAGCGTAATTAGCTTATAAAAAAATATTATTTTGCCCATGATAATTTCACTTAATCAGGCAAGAAACCTGAATGCTACAATGCTAATAATTTTCAGGCCCATTTTTTGAAGAACTTTATCCTCCAATAAATAACTTCCCATTGCATTATAGAATACATCATTAGCAGAGGCAAGGACGGCCTGGAGCACTTTGTGACTGGACTGATGGCATTTCTGGCACCTGGGCAGAGCTGAGAAGCAGTTTAAGCTGCATGCATGAGACGGATATTTCCGCTAATGTGAATAGTGAAATAACTGGTAAAGTAATATTTCAATTAATCATAGTTAGGTTTCAGAGTTAGCAGGTAGTGTCATGAACTGAAGAGTTTATATTTCTTTTTGCTATTGTCTCAGTCAGTCAATAGCTCCAGGCAGCTTTTAGGTTGCTGGCAAGCAGGCTCAAGGTAATCTTGAAGCAGCAGTTTAAAACATTAGTGCATCAAGATGCCTGACCTGTGCCAAAAGTTATTGACCCTCTAGGAGAGTTAGCAGAAGGGAAGACACCTATGATTCACTTGGTCTGGTGCAAAACTTTAATGACAAGTGTGGCTTTCAGCTAAGCCCCTGACTCTCATGCGGAGGGATGGATGACGTGACAGGGCAGCAAAGCAGCTCTCTGGCTGTGAGAGCTTTCTGCCCCAGCTGCCCGATGGCTGCATCCCTCTGCCAGCTAGTCCCTTGTGTGTGGTTGTGGCAGAGGAGAGACAGCGCACACAGGTACAGGGAAAAAACTACTGCTTTTCTCTTTCAGGCTGCTGTTCTAACACTCCCTGGAGCTTGTCCAACAGGACCACTCTGCGCACATCCTAGTGAGTAACACCACAGTGAAGAAAGGATTTCAGAACCGTCCACGTCTGTCAGTGTTGAAAACCTCACTGTTGTGAGGTGAAGGTCCGTTTGTTTTTCCTCGCTCCCACCTTGATCGTTCATAAATATTTACCATAACTGACCCTGAAATCACTCTCTTTGTATCACCTGTATCTGAAAGAAAAATTTCTAAAGTGACATGCGAGTACTCCAAGGAATTTCCAATTCTATCTGAATCAATAACTGAAGATTCAACTCCATAATCTTTGAGTACATTTTATCAAAAAACAGCTTGCATGGATAAATAAAAGATATGCCATGCCTATAATGAGAAGTATGTAATCCTTTTGTCTGAAGTAATATGCTACTAAAGCAGTGTATTGAATTACCCTAATATCTTCTGCCATCTTTTTCTCCTCTTCTGTAAGTTCTAGGGCAGTTGTTTCATCAGCAGAGAAGTATTTAGATGCAGGGATCATTTTTCCATCCCCAAATTGCAGATTTCTCACCAGTACCTGAAAAAAGACAGGATAGGATTTTAAATTATCTGGGAGGCAACACATCCTTGTGTGAAGAGTTTTTAGACGTTAATATGGTTTCTGAAATAGTAAAATAAATGGCTTGCATGAAAACTGCTATGATGCAGGTAATTTAACATAGGCCACTCTTCAGATTCCCTCCCAGTATTAGTACATGTTAATCCATATTGGAAATGAGTATGGATTGAGTGAGAAGCAAAACATGAATGTCTTCTCTATAGGATGGCAGAAGATTGATAAACTCCAAGCGCATTAGCCGTCTGTCATCAGCAGCTGGATTTGGATAGCCTGACAATTGCACACTACTTGCACTTCTTGCTAAAGTTATTCCATCCATGCTCATGTTTGCCAGGGTGATCACTTACCATCTTCCCATCATTACCAAAAATGACTAGACCATTCTTGGTTACAAGTCCAGGTCTTGAAGCACCTTTTATTGCCAGCTCTTGTCCAGCAGGCACTGAAGCATCAAGTAATGATGATCCATAAAAAGTAACCACCTAAAAATAAATGGAATTACAAGTGCACAGATTCTAAACATGCTCTAAAATTCTAATAATGAAAAGATACTGTTTTGAAGCTTTAATATAATATAAATAAAATGTAAGTACCTACATATGGAAAACATGTTACAACATTATTTCTGTATCTTTACAACCCAGGAGATGTAAAACTTCACAAGCTGCCTAAACCTGCAAAGCTGCTTAGCTGTACCAATGTGCACGCTGGAACCAGTGCAGAAAGGGAAGCAGCTTTTGTCAGGGCATGCCCGGAGTGAGAGGCCAGCAGAAGCCTGACTACGACTGGGGGAGTGTGCCTCTGCCCCCAGGCTGGCAATGCTCTTGGGCTCTTCCGTTCTTTCTGGGCTCTCAAATCAGCAACAGCTCCTGGACATTAGGTCAGAACCAGGCTTTTGGAGCAGCCTACCAGCAGATGCATAATAGTTAAGTAACAAAAACTGCACATCACAAGCAGGAAAGATAATGTGATTTTTAAAATATTTTATGTAAGTACTATGTGGATCAAATGTATAGTACTTTTAATACATTGAAAGAAAGTAGTTGCTTTTGGATAAAAGGAGATGTATTTATTTCTGTAAATGATGTAGGCCCAAATCTCTTTAAAATAAAACCATCTCTGTTATTTCAGTAGCTCACAGTGTTTCATTTTGCTGTTAATACTGTGATGTTGCCCACCTCACAGCATGGGTTGCATTATACTGTAACGAATGCCTACTTCCCAAAACGACTGGCACAGTCTGGTTCTACCCTTCTTACTTATTGCTTTGTATCATGCCCTATTATTTTTCCAGATATTGCTCTTATCTTTCTTTGAATTAAATGTATCTATGATTAAAAAAAAAAAAATCTTAACTACTGTGTTCTGTACATTTGTTTAGGTGCCTGTTCTAGACATATACAAAGCTTACAGTCATCAGATGAGAGCTACTCCAATGTAACTCTCATTTGTATTCATCTGTATGCAGACACCTTTAGTTTTATAATTTAAAAAGGTCAAAAAGAGGGTATAGAAAAGAAGAATGTTCTTCTGGTTTTCAGAGCATACCTGGTCATCTATTGTTGCCCATGCTCCAGGCACTTTATCATGCCCTCGAATCCAATTGTGCAAAGCTGATGCAGGTTGGTCCCAGGAGATCTAGGAAATCAAGACACACCAGCTAATTCTTCTCTGTTTAGGTATAAATCAAGTTAGTAATGTTTTCCTGTATAAGAATTACAAATTCTGCCACCTTCTCCTTCAGCTGTTTGTTTATTTAAAAACACAGAAACGGTTTGGTCTAATAAAGGAAGATCAGTAATCTCCAGATGGCTAATCATCAAAAACCTATCAAATGGGATGCTCTTAGCACTTCTGTGTTCTGTGTGGTCTTTCTCTTTTCATAGATTCTCATTCTCACACTAATATAATGAAAATATAACTCTTGCTACTAGGAATTAATTCAGAAATAATTAATACTCTTATTGACAAATTTAATAAACATAGTATAAATATAAATAAGTGTATGTCTGGGGTATCACCTTCTGCTGAAAATGATCTATTTATTGATTGGATCCCAAGTTCTTTAATATATCTACAAACTTTTATTAAAATACTTTCTAATCATTTACTAACCCTTTATAAATTGTTTCATAAGTTGAATCCCTACTACAACTTGCAATTCCCACAAGAATTTGAGGAAAAATGAAATAATATCTTAAGAATATCATGTATATTTTATATATAACACCAGTGAAAATGTATTCCTTTATCTTTGCAGTATTGTGAGTATATGTACAAATTAATTACAGAAAGTATCAGAATAGCCATTAAATAACAAAACTTAGGTACCCAGCATCCTTCTTAGTTTAAGCGCAAATAATATTTAGAAGCAATTTATAAGCCAATGAGAATAGTTTTACAGCAGGGAGATTAAGGTCGTTCACTCCAAGGAAGCTCCTTATATATTATATTAAAGGGATGAATAAAAATACCCTTTAGCAAAGCTATTTGTTTCTAAGGTAAGTCAGGCATTGAAATGTGATAAAGATGATGTTATTTAACACTACCTCTGCATTTTCCTTTTTCTGGATCCCTTCATATGTTGCTCCTTCTTTAGGCTGAGGTATACGAGGGGCCTTACCATCAGCAATTAGATGCACAGCTTCCACCTAAGTGAAAAAGTAACAGATTTAATGTTAGCTTGGTTCACCTTTTTTCCCCAGTCACCTCTGAGTGACAGCAAAAGACTTTCTGCCACAAGGGGAACCGGTTTATTTTTAAAACCTAGGATTTCCAAAATCTAAGGGACCAATACTGTGCTGATTAACATACATATATGCTTAAACTTCTTTGACAAAAGAAATAGCCTCAGAAATTTGATGGGAATATGTAGTCACCGAACACACAGCAGCTGCCTAAATTCTGCAGGACCAGAACGCATCTCTGTATGGTGACATTCAACTCTTTCCTTCTTCTTTTTGCAAAAAGCTATTTCTCTGCATTTAAATGGAGAGAGAAAAAATTTCTCTAACAATGCATGCTGAGTATTTTTTATGCATTTTCTTTTCTTAATTTTACAAAAATACAAAAAAGGACAAGCATACAAAATCCAAAGCCAATCCACCAGGGCTCTGAATTTAAAGCACCTCCCCCTTTTATTTTTCTACCTCACCCCTAAATTTCTGTTCTCTCTGAGCCTTTTAAAAATTTCACCTTGTAAAAACATTCAAGAAATCTGTGGGAAGAGCTACATTCCAGACAAATTCAACTTCTTGCCTTCTGTGGAAACGGGATATGCTCTGCCCACTGCCAGCAACAAATATTCTGAGGCTACTTCCTCAGCCGAAGCAGCACAGCTCCAGTGAAGTCTAGGATTTGGCTGAGCACCACAAGCTCTGTCTTTCCATACATGGAAAGATGCATGCATCTTGTCTATATTTCCTTTACTTTCAAACTCCAGGAGATGTTTTTCTTCTTCTCATAAAATGTTGATATTTAGTACAGCTAAACATACCATAGCCTTTATTCCTTCCGGGAAGAGAAACCGGTTATACAGGTCATCCACAGTATCGTTTTGGCCAACATCACATTCTCGCTGCAGAAGTATTGGTCCAGTGTCCAAACCATCATCAGCCCAAAAAATAGTAAATCCTGCTTTCTTATCTCCTTGAATTAAAGTCCTGGACATAAAAAAAGCCTTACAGTAAATACAGACAGTATGAAAGTAGTCAGGAATATCAACCCATCTGTTATGTGTTCATTTACTTTAGGTAGATAGAAAAGAAAAGCCTAACTGTCATTAATACTGTCTTTATAAATGTCTTTAATACATTGCTCGCTTCATAGTCAGGAACTCACAGTTTTGATGTGTGGTTTCCACAAAGTGACATAAGAAATGCTGCAACTAAATTCAGGGTGTCTATCACACAGTTCATTGTGAAAATTGTTTTAAAAGTATTATTAGTGGTAAGACACACAGAGCAAAAGTTGTGCAATAGTTACGATGTAATTTGAAAAACGGAAGCATCTAGATAGCATATTATCTGAATATCATGGTTGTTTACTGTAATTAGCTAAGCTTCACAACTTATCTGTAGATCGGCAAGGAAAGTACAGTTGTTGCACAGCTGAAAAAGAGCTAAACTCAGAGTGGAAAATGATGGATATGCAAGTGTTTAAGGACAAGTTATTAAGGGAATTTGTATCCAGCCGGATTCTCAGCTGCTGTGCATGAACATAGCACTGCTTACAATAGACCTGTGCTGATTTACATCACCTCAAGATCTGCCTCTAAATCTAAAGGGAACTTCAGCCACTTAGATTTCCCAGTTTTCTCGTGGAGCTGCATGTGCCTCAGAATGATGGAAAATCAGAGAGAAGCATGTTTAAAGGAACAGCCAGAAATGGAGAGATATATCTTTCCCGCATGCTTTTAACCATTTGTCTGCATGCAAACACTAATGCAATTTTCAGTAAGACATATCTCTTGGCAGTTCATGTTGTAACAGGATAATCTGAGATCTGGTTTATACACATGAAATTTCATTACTAATTGTAAGCACTGAAAACTACATTACTAAAAGGAGTAAAGCACACATTCATGCAGAACAAGGACAAACTCCATAGACAACTGGGGAAGTTGGCAGGTATAACAAAAGTGAAAGCTTACAGAAGTTTGGCTAGCCCATATCAGATCTTTCACGCATTTAAGCAGCATTTCTTCTGTTTTATATTATGCAAAAATTCCAAAAGAGCACCCTGGTGAGAAGTGGATGTCCTCAGCATGGCACTGGAGGAGACAAAGGTATTGCGGGCAAATGTCCCTGATGCTGAATAGGTGACAGGACGAGAACTGCTGCGCACACCCTCCTCTGTCCAGGAGCTCCCACCGCAGACAGCTGCTAATAACAAAGCAGCAGCAGCTGGAAGAGGCTGTAAAGGATGGAGTGAGGAACCCCCAGAGGCCCAGGGCCCTTGTTTGTGCCTGCTGCCCCTTTAGCCATGCCTAATTCCCACAGGTTTTCTCAGTCACACTGTGGGGGGAAAGGGTCCGATCAGCACTAGGGCTGTAGCCACAACAGATGAAAGAAGTTGTGATGAGAGCAAGGGGTGCGAGGGTGAAACATGAGAATGGTCAGTCAAGGCCAAATCCTAGCTTAGTTTAAAGGTCTTAGCACAATGGCCTTTCCCTGAGGAGGGCAGGAGCAGATGCTTACAGAAGGAATATGCAAAATAAAGCAAGACTCAGTGATACACCATTGGGATACATTCTCATTTCTGGAAACCTTCACCTCAGGAACTTCCCGAAAGAGAGTTTGTATCTACATCTTCCTGTGGAATAGATCTTGGTTACCTTTTCCTCCATGAAAGCATCCTTCTAGAGCTCTCCAGATGTGCAGTTCCACAGTTTAATAACAGACTGCATGGAGTAAAAGTACCTCCTTTATTTAGTCAAATCCTGCTACCTGATCTCTTTGCTGGCTGTCCCCTAACTTTTGATTAAGACTGAGCAATTGTTACTTATTCACCTTCCCATGCCTTTCATGGTTTAATAGACTGCTAGCATATCTCCTTCCCAATGACCTCTTTTCCACTCTGAAGACTCCTAGATTTGTCTCTTGTCACGTGGAAGCTGTTCTATACCTTTGACCATCTTTCTTAGACTTTTCTGAAGCATTTCTAGTTCCTTTACATTCTAACTGAGATGCAGACAGTATTTAAGATCCTTCCATGGTCTCGTTTCTGAGAGAGAAATTTATTTAACTTAATTTTATTACTGCTTACATATAGTCAGGGTGTTTTTTTTTTTTCCTTATGTGCATTACCTTATGTTTTTTAACTTTGAATTTGACCTCTCACTTTCATAATCTCACTTTCACATTACCACCCATTTGTGTGGAAAGTGTATTCTTTATTAGACGTTGAAATCAGAGTGACTGCTCTAAAGTTTCCTGGCTTTTGCTTTCAGCCCTTTTAAAACTGGTATTGCTCTTGCTGTTTTCCAGTTTCCTGCACCAATGCACTCTGAAGGAACAGAAATGCTCCAGGCTATGCCAAATATGCAGAACCTTTGTTTGAAAGTTCCCTGGTCCTGAGAAGAGATTCTTATTCATTCATCAGTTTATCTAAAATCTCTTCTACTCACAGTTCAGCTCAGGAGAATTGTTCTGACTTACTCTACACAAAGAAGGGCTGTATGGTAGCAACACCTTAAGCTCCTCCATCCTGAATACCTATACAGATTTCCTACTATGGTGTTGTCTTTGATAAGCACCTTTTTTAAATCAAATGCTTATATCGCCCTACATACCTCCCACCTTTAATGCATTTGGGAAAATTGTTATTATTCAATTTTATGCCTTTTTGTTCTTTATTTCTTTTCTGGACTGCTTTACTCTTTTTTTTTTTTTTCACCTAATCTGTCAGATTTTTTGCTCTTTTTTTATTTTACTCACTTGGACACAACTGCCACTTTTTGAACGATTTCCTTACTTCTCTAGTAAGTCTCCTTTACTCCCCTGTTTAAGTACTTCAGCTTACCATTTTTTCCATTAAGCATTTATGGAAAACAAAACATGCTTTTTCTTTGAATCTGCAACACTGTATCTTTAGATAATCACCATGCTGCCTGTAAGATTCTTTTAAAATTGTTTCTTCATAATTAGACAATTTCCTATTGAATTTAAACACAGTGATGACAGCATTTCTGTTGTCACACAAATGCTAGATCTGAGTCTACTGGGGTCATTATTGCAGTGTAGTTCTTTCGCAGCAACATTTTGAATCTTGCCTTGTGCATTGCTCAGGAGGACAGCAAGATAAGGTTTTATTCTTGTGGATTCTCTTCTTTCTTCTCCCTTCCCATCTCTGAAATCTTGGGCTCTGCATCAAGCCCTGTTGTGACAGTTATTTAGTGTTTGTGAGGGATGAGCTACGAGGGCGGTGTCCTGCCTGTGATAACTCCAGATTGTCGATTTGCCTGTGTGAGTAAAATATATGAATGTACAGATCAAGTCACTGATCTTCCCAGAATAACAGCTGCACTTGCAGTGGAAATTGTAATGAATCTTAGGCATGAAGTGCAGTTCATGAACCAAATACTCAGCTGCTTCCAAGAAGTTCCTCCAGAGCAGTTGCAAGTCAACAAAACTGTGCTAGCATTGACATGAGTAATGGGTACAGACCAACATCCTAATGTGACATACACATAGTTTTGTTGCATGAAACTCACCAGTTGATTGCAGAAGCTCCTCGGTGGCGTGGTAGGATGGATGGATGGTAAATAATTGAGCCATGTTTTGGGCAGTCAATAACATCCATGGGGATGAACTGTGTACAGAACGGAAGGACATTTAGTTCTGCTCCAACTGATTTGTAGGCTGCAACTACTTCCTGGATAGGCTTGCCTTTAGCTCTCCATCTGGGGAACTTAAAAACAGGAGTGCCGTCCTTCTCCGCTGCCAGTGCTGAGGGGCAAGAACAATTGTCTTTTTTAATTCACATTTTGTGTTAAAAATTCAAACTTGAAATCAGAGAGATATTGCATGACAACTCAAGCAGATCATCAACTGTTTGATTACCAGGTGCCCTTTGTACTGCTCTGTATGTTGTTTAAAAAACTTTGCACTCGGATATATTTTATTAATTCTTTCTTTGATTCTCGTTCCTACAGCTGATGTCATTCTCAACTTTAAGTCCACTCCACTGACTATTTAACAGTGACACTTCATTTTTTGTCCAGTCATTACATTTGCCTGAAACAGGTTTGCTTTAGCAGAACTTAATTTTTCACTTCAGCAATCTGTATGTGAATATGACTACACACAACTAAGATTCACTCAAGCCAGCAGCATTTTGCCATGTGGAGTAAATAATTACAGATGGTAGAAGCATTCAGTAATTTCTTCAAAATTCTGATTACTGATGCCTGCTAGATATGTTTCCATTTGTGTGTGAGACACACAGCTACACACAAAATTAAGCTTAAAGGTGAGAAAAAACAACTGCATTAATTGCAGAGACAATTTTTAGATGTTTGATAAATTCAGTTGTGCAACTAAATGTTCAGTTTATGAACTCATGACAGAGAGCAGGATAGTAGAGTCAACTCTACATCTGTTGGGTTGTGTGTGTAATAGGAAGAAAGGGGAAAACAAGAAGAGACAGGGAAAATTCACCTAGTTTAATTTATATTTCTAAACACATTTTTGTATTTTTCTTTCTCTCTTTCACTTCTGAAGTTCGAACTTGAGTTTGACCAGAGGCCTATTAACATAGGTCTTAATTAAATACTTACTTTAATATCATTCCATGGACATTAGTGTGTCCTGCAATTGCTTTTAGAAATAAAAATCATAGCTGTCTGAGGATATACAAACATTAGCAAATTTCACTTGAGACTTAAGCTGTTTGAGTCATCTGGAAGTAAAAAGCAACAAAGGATCTAGTAATTTCTTTTTTTTCGTTAGGAAAGCAATAAACTAATTCTATGATTTAGTGAAATTAATAGATGATTGAAATTAATAGATGATTGAAATCAGTGGAAGATTTGCTTAGTTACATCTGCTAGTGTAACAACCATAAAACAACAGTTTACATAATGTAACCAAGTATTATGGTATGCTTACAGAGCTGGATAGTTGAATTGTCTTTTTCTAAACTAATAGTTGCCTCCTCTAATTCTTCCAAAGAGTGATTAAATCATTTAATAAGGTAGAGTTACAGAATATAATAAACTTGAGAACTATATCCTAGTTTGGGAGTGCCATAGCCCAGGTAAGCAAAATTTATGTTTGATTATTCTCTCATAAGAGTTCTGCAAAAACTTGTCAGGACCTGACAAAAAAAAAAAAAAAAAAAAAAGATGACTTAAGTTAAGACAACTTGTGGAACGTAGTTTTAATTTCTGATTATCCATAAAGGTATATTCCATTCTGGCATTTCTATTTGCTAATCATATTAACTCACTATTTTTGTGCCACTGGGAAAAAAAAAAAAAAAAGTTACAATTCAGATGATTCCAAAGTAGCTTCTTTGCCACACTGGGTTGGGCTGTATTAAGTACAATTCTTAATACCTGTCAGGCAACAACTCTTTCTTTAGGAAGTCTAGAAAATCCTTATGAATCTTGGCACTAGGAAAAGAGAGAGCAAAGCCTCCTCTACCCTTTTCAATGGGTTTTCCATAGTCCAGGTGGAAGAGAAATAGGCTCTGCAGGTACACTGCTGCATGCAAGCTTGTCAGAAAGGGCAGAAAGCCAGGGATAAACTGTTTTGGCTTCATGCCTTGAGTGTCCCAGACAGCACAGTGAAACAGGTGACAGACATTTGTGCTTGAGTACAGGCTCAGCAGTTATTTGCTTTAAGATACAGATCTAGTTCAGGATGATTACCTCTAGGATGTACATTCAAATGAAGTACCCAGATTAATTTATTTTTTAAATATCATAATGTATGGCCCTGTATGGTTAGAACCAACTTTCACATACTGACTAACTAACAAGGTTAAACCAGTTCTGGGACTTGTGTTTGTTAAAGCATTGTTCTTGTGCTGAATCCAGTGTAATAAAGGCATTCCCATATAGATACCACCTTCTCACGGAAAGGCAAGTTTGTTATGTATGCCGGTAATTTTAACGTTTGGATTAAGGTTACACTTACCCAAAGGATCAGCTTGTCCATTCTTGTCAGGCACTGTGAATACTCCCACGACTTTATGGCCCTCTTTTATCAGCTTGTTATAAACTTCTTGTCCAAAAATACTTTGACCTATAAGGGCTAGCTTTAGCTTATGTTGATAAGCCTGGTAAAAAGAATTAAAACAAGCCATGTTCTAGGATGCAAAGAAACTATATTGTTGCTTATATTTCTCTCTTGTTCCTGCTTGATCAATGTTCATTTAGATTTAAAATGGAATAGTCTTTTTACCCCAATTACCTTTGAAGGAATATTTTTTTGAGATTAATGACAGACAATGTATAATTCAGAGAGAACACACAACACAGAAGTATCATTGATACTGTCACTGATGTTTATATTGTTTTCCCAGTATTTTCATTAGACAGACCCACTGCTTGTTCCAAAAGGCATAGCAGGCTACATAATCTTATTTGTAGTCAGAACTAATATGACAAGAAATGAAAATACATTTTTAAAAACAGATACATAAAACACTTTTTCTAGGCATAACTTAGGTGCTTGGAACATGCCCTCTAAATCCGTATAATTAAATGCTGGCAAATTATTTGTAGTTAATATGTATAGGCTAAAGAAAACACACTTGCATTGTTCCTGCCAAGTTAAAGGTAACACTCATCCGTTTGTATTTCCTCCTACAAGGAAATACTGCAAGGTTCCTTTGTTTGACTTCCACTGCCTTCTGCGTTTGCTTCCCAGTACACTGGACACATGCTTTTAAGCTTCTTCAGACTGAATAGATGCCAATAACTGCTACAACTTTTTATTTTTAGGATAGTTAGAATCACAACACTACTATGAGATCGGGATATCACACACTGATACATTATTCAAGTGCTTGCACCCTGAGAAAATTACTAGTTCCTTCAGAGTCCCTTTAGATTCAGGGGACAGTTTTGCTCCTCTCTCACCCTACCTCCAGTGCCTCACCTCTAACACCTTCTTTATCCCAGAACTGGTATTCCTGTAGCTGCAAGAACTGGATTAGGGTACTGAAGTAGGGAGGCACTGACCTGACAAAATGCAGCTTATTCTTAACTGGATCTATTCACTGATCTAGTTCATTGCACTGCCACAAGTCCTAACGCAGGTCCAGCGGGGGAGCAGGAATCAGCATGCAGGCACCGGCAGAAGGGTGGAGCTGTCCCTATAAGCAATGCCTTTACATTTTTCATCAGCTTCTGGAAACTGAAAACTGGAAACCTTAGAAAAACAAATGGCCTAGTAGACCTGGTTATGAATCACAGAGTCAAAGAATCACTAAGGTTGGAAAGGACCTT